TTGAAAATTCATGGGGAGGAATGTGTGCGTTTGGTATTGATTGCAGTTATTATTTAAAAGGAAAAGGGTAAGCAGATGAATGCATAAATGTACTGTGTACTTTTATATGCACAGTAGTTTAAAAAGCATTGAGATACAGTGCAGTGCTTGCATCTATAATACACAGAGTACTGAGGTCATCTTTTTATATATTGTGTATTTGTTCGCTCTCTATGAAAATGATATCCAGTAATAATAAAATTTGTCCCTATTACCCAACAAGGTTCATCGTTCACAACTTGGCTGTTGGATATTTGGGGGGGGTGTAATGCCCTGGTAGGAGCAAGTGGCACATTATTAGACAGCAAGCTCTACTAGGTCACATTCGGTTTGGTGCCAGCAGCTCTGATCCACAGCATACCTCCTAAGTGTCCCTAATTAGGAGTCCCTATTTTGGATATAATCCCTCTGTCCCTCTTATCAGCGGAGCAGAGGCAATTGGGATTGGCCATCACCACCACCGAGGGCATTCGCTCCTCACTATCAACACGACCCGCTTGAAGACAACAGCCCTGATTCTGAACAATGGGCCGTACTACATGAGGTGAACCTAGCACAAGCCGAGGGGGACAACCGGGTGCACCACAGACAATGGGTCACAGTAGATGGAAAGGAGGCTGAGGCACTACGAGACTCTGGGGCCACCCTTACCCTGGTGCAGCCTCACACCGTATCTGCAAAAGCGCGCACCAACAGGACTGTTGCAGTAAGAGTGGCCGGAAGCGCCATCCACAAGCTACCCACAGCTCGAGTGCAGTTAAATTGGGGCACCGGAGCCAAACAGATGGAAGTAGGCATTATGTCTGGCCTACCGGTGGAAGTATTGTTGGGGAACGATTTGGGGTGCCTAGCTGATTACCCCAGATCCCGCTGGAACCTGCCACGTGACTACCAGGGCGCAAGCCCGCCGAGTTGGACAGACACACTCCGAGGAACCACAGATAGAAACCGAAAACCCCTCACCGACCTGACGAAAAAATCCCTACCTAAGCAGGTAGCATGGTCCCCGGAGTGTGCAACGGTGTTCCAGAGACTTTAAACTGCTTGAGCAAAGCTCCAGTATTGGCTGCCCCAGACCCTAATAAGACATTTCTCGTTCATACAGATGCCTCCATCTTTGGGCTGGGAGCCGTGCTGAGCCAAGTGGGGGAGGATGGCATGGAGCACCAGGTGGCCTATATCAGCCGTAAGTTATTACCACAGGCGGTCAGCTATGCCAACGTGGAAAAAGAGTGCCTAGCTCTAGTATGGTTCCTAAAGAAACTCCAACCGTACCTTTATGGCCGTGCCTTTATCCTACTCACTGGCCACAACCCCCTCATTTGGCTCAACCGAGTATCTGTAGACAATCCCCGGTTGCTGTGCTGGAGCCCAGCGTTGCAGCCCTACAATTTTACACTGCAATACCCCGGGGCAAGCAGAACGGCAATGCGGATGGGCTTTCCCGCCAAACCGACTTGGATGTATAATTAGGTTACCCGGATATCTCCTAGCCAACCCGGTAGGGTCTAGGTGGGTATGCCGACCCATGGAACTAAGGGGGAGTATTGTGAAGAAAATAGACTTAGTTCGGTATTTTCTCCTATGTTCGGGATTTTTCTGCAGTATCCATTGGTTTGGTAGTTTAAAATTACCGAACACAGACCACCCTCCTGCCTCATTAACTTTAAAAGAACCATCTATTAAGCGCTCTTTGGGCGACCGCTGTTCGTATAGCCGAATGCCACGTGAAACAGAAAATGGCGGCCATCTTGTTTGTACAAAAGGATGCAGCGGGACTTGGTCGTCGAGTGTCTGGAACTAAAATCGGACACTCGACCTCCTGAACCATTGCTGAAACTACCACACTACCACTACTTTTTTTTTATTCTATATTTCATACATTTTTATATTTTATATTTTATTTTTTATTATATATTTTTTATTATATACTTTATATACTTATACCCATTTTTGTTTTTATTTTTATTTTTGTTTTTAACTTCCTTCCCTTTTTTTTTTTTTATGTTGGATATCCCCTGATATAGTCCCTCTTTCAAATCACCCTCTCTTTTCTCTTCTCCTCCCCTCACTCCCCTCTTCTTATTCTCCCAGGTCTCCCCTCCGTTTTTACTAGAAGGCTATCTCCTTTACCCTGATATACCCTCCCCTCCCTGTGCTGATGCCAAGAGACGGGCGGAACATGATCGCGCCGGTCTCTCAGCCCCAGCATACATTCCCCATAATGCTCGGCTATGTGATCACGTGGTCGCGGGAGGTCGCGATCACGTGTTCTTCAAAGCATATATACTTACATGTGTAACAATACGTTAAAAACGCTCGTTTTAGTATTTTAAACATACAGACACCTTCAGATTTTTTTTAAATGTGTTCCCATATCTTAAATTTTAACTTTCAAATATGTTTTAAATTATGCATAATTTATGAGTGACATCATTCTGGCGCCAAATTTCAAATCCTTATCTGCCTTTCTTAGTTTATAAAAGCATTTATTGTACCAGGTTTTTCTCTCTTTTTAATGCCATTTGATAAAGCCCTGTGTGGTGAAACGCGTTTTGGCTGTTATTACTTTGTTTTTATACTGAGATATTATATTTTAATAAAGAAATATTGGCTTTTATTTTCGCCTATAGATACTTTTTATTTATTTTTATTTGAATTCGAATTACCTGGTCACAGATTTGGATTGAAGTACACTACTATCCAAGAATCCTAGTGAGCACTATATACGTCTCTCATCTCTCCACATATCGAGGAATTGTTAAGGATCCCATCATCCATATCCGACCAGTGGGGGACTGACGCCACTGAACGCTAAAAACACTTGAGCAAGTTTTTTTGCTCATTCAAAGGTGAGTTTTTTTACCTACTCACAGATTTATATCTGACTACCTGTCGACATTCTACACTATTGGAGTTTCTCTTATTTCTTCTATGTACCCACATATCTACAAGCAAATCAAGATATTTTCAACATAAGAAGCTTCAGACATCCATTTGGACTTTATATCCACTCAAGAAAAATACAGGTTTATTTACTACTTGGGACTTTTTATTACATTTATTTATCCATTTTGCATTTCCTCTTTGTCCCTTCAGCGCGACCTATATACCCATTTCAAACTACCAAACGCCTGCTTCCTTTAGTTGCCGAACAGCCAGGAGAGTGCCATTCGGTAGTTTTGTTCATATGGACAAGGGGAGCAATTGCTCCTATGAGCCAGGAGGATCCATTCGGGACTTTTATTCGTTTTATGCCTTTTTCTGAATTGACCGACCGCACACACTGAATTCGTGGAACTGTTTTGGGCAGGAGCCTCGTGTGTGGTTGGTAACTTGTGACTTCCATACTTTTTAAGAACCCCTGAACTGATCTGGGTGAAATTTGGATATGTTGGTCCCCCAGATTGGGGCTATCAGGGGATATGTAATTTGTGGGGATAACTTGTGTGGAAAGGGGTGTTCTAACTTTTGGGAAAATTGTGTGCCCTCTGCCTGGAGAGAATTGGGTTATTCCTTAACTTATCTCAATAAGAGAAATGGCGGTGGGTTACTGTAAAGCTGTATGTTGATTGGTTATTGTCTTTGTTTACTGTGGGAGGTCCTCTTGCAGGAGGATTTCTCATAAAAGCCAGTGTGTCATCAATAAACTTCATCCCTGTTACACCCTTAATTGAAGTCTAGGCTCATGTTTGGGAAATATTCTATTTGCTGGGGAGAATCATCTTGGAAGCTGCATTCATAATCACTTATGCTCAGCTATTGGGGAAGGAATAGAAGACCACACTACTCCCCCTTTTCCCCTGAAGAGACTTCAGTCTCTTTTCATTGCGAAGCCTCTGAAAGTATCCTCCGTGAACGCACACGTCTACTTGTGTTCCTACACACTAGGCACAGACTTCAGAAAGAATGCTGCACTAATCTGAGGGTGAGAGGAGGTGTGTGGGGGAGACAGGACCACTCAAGTAGAGAACGGCTGCCACTTGTTAGCTCAAGAGAGCTAATTATTATTATTTATATAGCGCCAACAAATTCCGTAGCGCTGTACAATGGGTGGACTAACAGACACATAATTGAGATCAGACTACTGGACATACATGAACAGAGGGGGTTGAGGGCCCTGCTCGATGTGCTTACATGCTAGAGGGAGTGGGGTATAGTGAAACAAAGGGTTAAAGTAGGGGAATTACATAGTTTGTTAGAGAAGGGTTTATTGAGTGCTTGGTAGGTCATTTTTGACAGTTGCAGGAAAAGAGTCATGGGGTGGGGGGATGAGAAACCTGCTGACAGTTTAATTGATACGCTTTAATGAAAAAGTGAGTTTTCAAAGATTTTTTGAAGGAGTGGAGGCTGGGTGAAAGTCTGATTGAGGAGGGAAGGGAGTTCCACAGAATAGGTGCAGCCCTGGAGAAGTCTTGAAGGCGAGCATCAGAGGTGGGGATCCGGGCAGAGGATAGGCCTTGGCCTGAGCGCAGGGGTCTCGACAGGACATACTTGTGTATGAGGGAGGATAGGTATGTTGGAGCAGCATTATGTAGGGATTTGTATTGTATTGTATTTGATTGACAACCAGGAGGGTTGGTCCATATTTTATGAATATTAGTGTCATGCCGCTCTTATGTGTAGATCTCATAGAAATGGGCAAGCTGAAGTGATTTATGGGTGTGAAGTGGCCTTTTAACATGGTTTTAAAGATTTTGCATGACTGCTGCCCAATACCCACATCCCGTTGCCCTCCACAAATAAACACAACACACCGTAATTATGGGTAAGGGCTACGGCCACAGCTTTATTTACTTATACAGACCAGCTTTCCACCAATTGTCAGCTATTGAGGGGTTTTCCCAACAGACATTTTCCACTTCCATATCCATGAGTTCATATCAGCCTGCCTACCGCCATCAGCCCTTGGCAGGCTGCAACTCCCCAAGTTAATTCATCATCCTTCCATTTTAAATGCGCTGGCCAGGAACACCGCCATCGCGATGTCGACCGTGCTCACCTCCTGTCGGCATCGCGCCCCCCGCAGCCAGCGACAATTCCACACCACACTCTAACCCCAGGTTAAAGATGTCCAGCCCTATGTCTGAAAATGGACTCCATCTCTCCTCATTAAATTAGAGTTATCCCCTTCCAGCTCCACGTGACTGACCACTATCCCAACGAGACCTCGAACAAACCTGGCGACCGTCATGTTCAATTTTCACAGCGCCCGCTCAATCCCGCGAGCGTGCGGCAATGCCCGCCAACATGGGCGCGGAACAATTTCGGACCAAACAAGTGGTCCCGAAAGAGAGCTATACACCGGGCCAAGTCCAGTTTAATTCAAAATATAAGATCTATTGTCCGCTCCCGGAGAGCTCTCGAACGCCTCGCCAATGAACCCTTGACACTTCAAAAGGAAAACCTAGGTTCCTCCCGTAGAACCTTTGCTCAGCTCTGCGCGCTGCCCAATAAATAAATGAGACAAAGCGCGGGGAACCTACAAGAGAGAAAATTACAACAGATGGGGTCGCATGTACAACCGATAAGCCCAAATGCTTAATCGCAGACTCAGAAAACCCTAACATGCCTGCTTGAGTGGTGGCCCCAATACGGAAGGAGTGGGCCAAGTATCCCGACACGTCGCCACCACCAGACCGCAAGACTGCCCTTAATCTGTTGGAGAACTGATATCTCGTTAACGGAGACCCATCGTTATGAACCAGCAATGACACTACCCAAATAGATCTGACCGCTAAATAGGCTACCAACAACCACACAGGGCAGTGGCCCCTACCCGCACCCATGTCCCCCTGAGGACATCTGGGAAGAAACAGAATGCGTAACATGTCCAGATTTAAGAGCACCCAAATCCCAAACCGTAACCGAACCCAGGTCATCCCACCCAGAGATGACAAAAAACCCCGGTACCCCCAGGAGGGGGGACAGCTGATCCCATAGAAGGAGAAGCCACACCCCCATCATGTATCTGGTGCCAGACCACTGAACCTCCGCTTCCGAAGGCGTAAGATCCAACCACTCGCCCCCCGCCTCCTTGCCCAAATTACATATGAGCATCCCACCATCCCTAATTCCGGGGAGGCGGGGGTGAGACAGTAACCGCGGAGAGAAATCCATTCGGAGACCGGCAGAGTGAACCTAAGGAACCCACCACCCTGACTCCCACCATTCGAACCATTGGCGCAGGCACGCCGAGCCTGGTGGCGTCTGTAGCCTCCCCTAACCGTAATGAAAGAACTCCCCACCATCCTTATCCAGGAATTCGAGTGGAATACCCCAAAGAAATGGATGCAGGAGAGAAAACCCATCTCCGAGAACCAAACAGAATAATCCAGTGGACGGAATAGCACTCACCTAAGGAAAATAGGACAAATGACGGAACCCGGCACCGCCCCTGATCAGAATGGCATAATCCAAACTATCCCGAGAACCCAGTACATCATGTTAGGAGCCCAACTATTACCCTGTGCATTCCATCTACCTCAGGAGAATGCGGAAGGGCCAGGTTATGCCAACCCCGCAACGTCCAAGAAATGAACAGATACTATTGATGAATCAGCCAACCGCTATCAACTTACCCTCACCAAAGTCAACAGCCGTCGAGTGGTGAAACCCGAAGGAAGTCCATTCCGATACGCACTCAACCCACCAAAACACCCTCCCACCTGGAGACGACCGAACATGAATGGGAAGCCGAGCCCTGCAAATTGAAGAACTCACTAAGGAGGACTACCGCCCAGCCCCCAACGCTCTTAAGGGACGGAACAAAACATGTAGACGAGCAGTCCAATCCTGGAGCCCCTTCAAGGAAATGCTCCTATACGGCCCGAGCACTCACACCTTACTGTAGCGGGCCCCATGCCGCCTCAGAGACCGACCCACGGCTCAGCTAGACCAAGCGACCACATCTCCACTGCCCTATATTTGGCCCCATGGAGCCCCCCACCCGAAGCATGTCCCACATCGAACAATATAGAGCATCGGCCATTACATTGTGAAACCCCTGGGATAACCCCGCCTAACGAGATACTTCCCAGACTCAAACGGCGCCGCAACCAGAGTACCACCGGGGTGGAGGACACCGTCACATGATATACAGCCTGCACCACCCCCAGATTGTCGCAACGGAAGAACTATGTGGCGAAACCGACCTCGCCACTGGGCATTGGAGAAGACTGATTGCCAGCCTCCTGCCATGTGACTATGGCCCCTGGGATGTATTGCCCTTTAAAGACATGATTTGGGCATAATGAATTTCTGTTATGCTGCTGCTGGCCCTTTAAGAACCATCTGGGGACATACTGTGGAGTTACCACCATCTCCTGTATCAGAGGCACATGGTGAGAACAATGGATGAAGCACATGGCGAGAACAATGGATGGTGGCCATTTTAACTCACAGACACTGTTTGGACTTTTCAACACGGTGCCATCTCGCCAGTATTTGGTGCACAGAGACATCGTGCAGTGGTTTTGGACTATACAGCAGGGGACACATTATACAGTGATTGTTTTTCATTTAGACTGTATATGTTCTGCAGAATCTGCATTAAACTGTATCTTCCAAAGTACTGAACGGATCTGGGTGAATTTTGGATATGTGGATCTGGGGTTATTGCATGTTTTGCGGTCCCTGTGATGTGTTTTATGAAACTGTATTTCTCTGTCTGTGATAATTAAATTACCCATTGTGTAAGGTAATTGTATCACAGGCAGAGGGGAGGATTTTGTGTGGGAGTGTCTGTGTGTATTGTACAGATTCATTGGTTGTTCTGTAAAACCCTGTGGGCAGTACTAAGTTTGTGGATTGGGAATAAAAGAGGCTGTATGTGCCAGTACAGTCAGTTCCTGCTTAACCCTCAAAGTGAAGTGTCATCTCATTATTGGGGGAGGATTTATTGTATGCTGTTCCAGTTTGACTGCTAGGAGTGTTAATCTATTTGCATGGTTTTTCCTATTCGGCTGTATACAACATTCATATGCTTGAGAGCATTCATATGCTCCTACGGTTCGGTGTTTTTGGTGTCTGCTGCAGTGCTTGGAGTCCTCAGGAAGTGCTAGGAGCATCCTTTAACGGAGGTACCCAGTCGGGGTGCCAGGTGATCCGTTACAAACTACCCATCTGTTTGTGAGTTGGGAACCCCACGCCTACCATACCACCAGAATGGGGAAGAGCTCGAAGACAGAGGCTGCAAGAGCCCCGATGCTTGCCAGCTTACTGGGCAAGAGTCAGCACACCATGGAGAGCCCAAAATGGCCCCAAACTTGCCGCAGCGGTAAACAGGCGGAAGTCAGTGGAAGGGTTTTACGGGGTCTGTCAGCACAAGCTACCAGTCAGGGGCAACCGGCATTCCCCCGCCCTGGAATCGATCCCACTATCCAGGAAACTACAGCCTGCATCCCGAACCACGGTTACGTCCTGGGCCACGGAACTCCGAAACACTACCCCAAGAAAAACGCCGCAGCTGCAGAGCGCGGACGTGCGACACTGACGGCCCCACACAGGAGCGACAATGGGAGTAACCCTTGTGGAGGCACATAGCCACTCAACACAGACCGTCAGAAAATACAAACTAAGCGAAAGAAGGAGTAGTGAAGGTGAACAAACCCCCCCACTATTCCCTCAGAGGAGAAGGTTACAGGAGGTAACAGGGGCTTAACCCCAATTTAACTAAGAAAAAACGACAAGAAAGAATAGAGAGGGAGGTCTGATCCCCTAAAGGGGGGGGAGAGGACTACCCTGACCATTCAAAGAATGCCTCCTAATATTAAAAAGTCACATAAATTAGGGTATATAACCTTTATTGAAATACGTATAAAAAAATAGAAGTAAATATCAATATTGCCAAATGTATCCAATGGCAGTAAAAAGAGAAAGAAATGGACTAAATGTCCCTATGTGGTTGTAAAGGAAGCACAATATAGGAGAAGTATATATATATATATAAAAGGATAGGTAGAAAGATGACAGCATGAATGGATAAAGGGTGCACAGAGAGGCAGAGACCTAAAGAAAAGGAATAAACTAGAAATATAATTCTAGATATGCATATAGGTCGCCTAAAACACCCCTTCACAACACTGCTCCAACTTAAACTACACCATACAACTAACAGCTGCTTCAGGGCAGCCTATCCATACCCCCTTATTAGCTAAAAAGAGCCAACATAATCCCTCAGGGACATCTCCAAGCTAGAAAAATAAATTACATAAGTCTACTAGAGCTAGAATCTCAAAATCAGTAAAGTAGCGTCGGCTAAAAACGGTCTAGAAAACTAATGGATAGCTACAGCTACAACCAAAATCTCAAGTGAAAGTGATTAGCGTCGGCTAAAACTATCTAAACTCAATTCAGGAGATTAGCGTCGGCTAAGACTGTCTAAAGATCTCATAGATAGCATCAGCTACAACTAAAATCTTAAATAAAGTGATTGGCGTCCGCTAAAGCTATCTAAACTCGACGCGCGTTTCGGCGTTATCAAGCACGCCTTTATCAAGAGCAACTTGTTAAGTGGTTAAGTTTTGCTTTATAAAGGGTAGTGACCACTTCCCCAAAGTTGACGTCCTCCAATCAGAATCCTCAAGAGGCGGAGTTCATCCGATCGTCACATCTCAGAAGAGACCAATCAGGAAAGGTGGGCGTAAAGCTCACGTGGTCACCATAATTTCGAAGGGAGGAAATGTAGCGTCATAGTGACATGTATGGCCTTAAGCCAATCAGGGTAGATGAGCATTGTGTTAACATGGTCTCCCCGTAACCAAGGGGAGGGGTTGCGGTGTCAAGATGACTTACAAAGAAACTGGCAAAAAAGGCTTAAATTGTAAAGCATTGATACAATGTAGCAATAATGAGTAAATAACGCAGTTAATAGTGTAACTAGGTTACCAGATTGTTCACACAGCCTCATGTTTTACTGATGGAAGAAATTTTCCACAGAAAAAGAGGACAAGTAAGACTGCCTAAAAATAATATTACTCAGTATAAATGATCAAAACATAGAAATCCTGGGCAAGTATGTTGACAAAAAGTTAAAGATAAGAATAAAAAATATGAAACATATATAAATAATCAAATAATAATCAAGAACTGCTCAGTAAAAGGTAAAACAAAATAGAATTATTATTTAAAGTAAACACATAAGAGGTATTGTATTAAATAATCATACATATACAGCATTAACAGTATGAGTCAGAAAATACAGCCTGGAAAACAATAACCCGCCAGGCGCACCGGCAGCGGCCATCAGCAAGGCCCCTGGGCCCCGCAGCCCTAACCCCTCGGATTGCTGCGTCATGCCACAACACCCCATACCTATCAGGTATCAGGTGAAATTGCCCCCCGCTCCTCCATGGGCCCTATGTCCCAAAGGGGTGAGGGGGGGAGGGGGGAAGGGAGGGAGCGGATTCTGGGGGCACACCAAAAAACGGTCGGGAGGTAAGCTTATCAAGCTTCTTGGTAAGCCATTCCCGCACCACCAGATGGAATTCTCATATGGACCAAAGGTCTTGCATGCAGAGCACCCATGACCCCTATCCCGACAGATCGCCCGCGTGAAACCGTGGAAGACGGGATGGGCCCCCCTGCAACCTGAGCTCTCGTGCTGGAATGGCACGAGGACCCCACATACCGTGACTGTCGGTGAATTTCCAATCACCGTCTAGCCTCTGACTGTAGGGCCAGTGAGGAGGAGGGTGTTCCCCCACCACAAAAAATGACGAAAACGCGCTGTGCTGAGGCGCCGGGCGAGACATAAAGGAAAAACATCCGGTCCCAGGCCAGAAAGGGTCGCATGCCAACCGTGAACGAAAGTGCGAGACGTACCTCCACCAACCCAGCTCACCCTAGGGACGACACGCGCCCCAGAGAGTGTCCTGACAGCAGAACAACGCGAGCATTCTCGGGGAGCCCTCTCCCCGACAATGCTATCCATAAGCTTCGATGCCCGGACACAATTCCCATGCGTCATGGGGTGTATCCGAGTACTGTATTTTTACTAAAAAAAAAAAAATTTTCTTTATGTCCCTCCCGGATTCCCCCCATCCCTCTCACTGAAGGGACCCCCAGTGGCAGGAGGGAATCCATATCCAATAAAACCTTCCCCAATCTGCTCCCTAGTATGTTGCGACAAGCGCCAGCCAAGCGAGCTATACGCGCACATCAGCAGCGCCCTGAGCCACATAAAAACCCCCCGCCTCTTGGGGGGCATCACCAGCGCTATTATATGCGCAGGACGCTGCATACAATAAATATTGAGAACGGGGGGGCGGGGAATAACCAGAGTGGACTCCCTGGTAAGCAGTGTCCATGCACTGCTGTTATTTTCTTTTTATTTATTAATTTTTATTTCATTTATGATTCATTAATTTTTTTTCATTTATGATGAAAAAAATACACATAGAACAGGGACATACAAGGGGGTAGAGGGTCGAGACCCATCCAGAGAGAGCAGGGGAAGGGCAGAGGGGGAACATAAAGGAAAAAGGAGCCAACCAAGAAGGGAAAGAAAAATGGGGGGGGAGGGTGGTGCGGGCAGAAAATAAAAGGAGCCAGAGGGGGCTCCCCCAAACTGACACCAGGTAAATGGAGCGACATAGGGTGGGGGGACAGGGGAGAGAGATGAAAGGGAGCCTACCTTACCGGCAGAGGAGGCTCCCGGACCACTGGAGGTCCCTGGTCACGAACGGCAGGGGACAAGAGTACCCTGCGTGGCCCCACCGGGCCTCCTTACTATTGGGGGCCCTTCACACAGCCCCGCCAGCCAGCCAAGCTGCAGGGGGGGGATCAGAAACGGCCGCCGTGGTAACATGCGGCCCGCCTTCCACTGCCCCCGCCGTGGTTGCAGGCCGGCTAGGCCACTGATCCTTAGGAAAAGTTGCAGGCCGCATGTCTGGAGCCCCCAGACACGCGGGCCTGGTGATGCCTCGGGCCCAGGCTCCCACACCTCCACTGGGTCCGAGGAGGAATGGCAGGGTACCCCCCTGGAGTGGCAGGGTACCCACCTGTGGTGGCAGGACACCCCCAAATGATCCTTTGCCCCCTTAATGCCGGCCCCCAGGAGCAGGGGCCACAGGGAAGACCCCAGAGCGAGGCAGGCCGGGGGAGGAGGGACCCACGCCGGCAGCCATAGCTGGGGAGAGGATATCACCTGGATCATGGAGTCGCCGGCCACTATCCACGTTGCAGCAGCCCTGAGGGAAGCCAGAAAGCCTCAACCTCCATCCCTCAAGCTGTGAAACTACAGGCCCAGGCAAACAGGAGCAGGACAGGAAGCTGTTTGCTGGCCCGTATCCCAAGTGGCACTGAGGTAAGATCTCCCCCACACTAATTTACACAGAACATAATCCCACCCACACACTCTTTCCCAACTAATCCCATTCGTCTATCCCCACACTCCAACATGTGCCCTTGTCCGCTTAGCTGCGCTATCTCCCCAGGGCCTAATTGCTGTTAGCATTGACACTCACTCCACATTTTACATAGCTACATTCCTAGCCAAAGTAGATTCCCACATACCTCTGAAGGTGGTTTTTTTCCATATCCCTTCCTAATTAGCATTATCACATTCACTTGGCATTTAACCCTTTCCCTCTATTAGATCACCATATTCCTCTGCAATTAACCGTTCGATACCCAAATTACATTCCATTGACTGCTCAAGTAAACCCTCTCCATTCCCATAACAGATCCCCAAACCTTTACATCTCTACCACTCTCTAATTTGTATCACCACCCGCAATTAACCCCTGGTTTCCCCACACTCCCAAATCCCAAATATGTGGCTGCTGAACACTTCCTCTTCATCCTCAAATTATAATCCTACATTTCATTACAGATAAATACGATTTCACAATTTGTGTGGCTGGAATGAGAGTGAGTTGAATTTATTAACGTGTGCACACCTCAGTGCCCTGCTCTCTCCCTATCTATGTGAAATGGAATGGTATTTGGGTACTTTCAGCTTGCAAAGGAGAACATTGAAGTTCCTTTCCTGAGGTTAATGGGACAGTACAAACCTCACCAAGCCCCCCAACATGAGAGGGTCTACCTACGGCTCAAAGGGAACACCTCATATCCCCAAGTGCACAGAGCAATGTGTGTATCTGTGCAGCGGAACAAAACAAGGTGTGTATTTGTATTACACAGAGCAGTGTATATGTTTGTATTATACACAGAGCAGTGTGTGTATCTGTATTATACGCAGAGTAGTGTGTGTATCTGTATTACACAGAGCAGTGTGTGTGTGTCTGTATTACACGCAGAGCAATGTGTGTATCTGTATTACACACAGAGCAGAGTGTGTATATCTGTAGAATACGCAGAGCAATGTGTGTATCTGTATTATACACAGCAGTGTGTGTATCTGTATTATACACAGAGCAGTTTGTATAATACACAAAGCAGAGTGTGTTATACACAGATCAGGGTGTGTATCTGTATTATACACAGAGCAGAGTGTGTTATACACAGAGCAGTTTGTATAATACACGGAGCAGAGTGTGTTATACACAGAGCAGTGTGTGTATCTATCTGCATTATACACCGATCAGGTTGTGTATCTGTATTATACACAGAGCAGAATGTGTTATACACCGATCAGTTTGTATTATACACAGATCAGAGTGTTATACACAGAGCAGTGTGCATAATACACAAAGCAGGGTGTGTATCTGTATTAAACACAGATCAGAGTGTGTTATACACCGATCAGTTTGTGTATCTGTATTATACACAGAGCAGAGTGTGTTATACACCGATCAGGGTGTGTATCTGTATTATACACAGAGCAGAGTGTGTTATACACAGAGCAGTTTGTATAATACACGGAGCAGAGTGTGTTATACACAGAGCAGTGTGTGTATCTATCTGCATTATACACCGATCAGGTTGTGTATCTGTATTATACACAGAGCAGAATGTGTTATACACCGATCAGTTTGTATTATACACAGATCAGAGTGTTATACACAGAGCAGTGTGCATAATACACAAAGCAGGGTGTGTATCTGTATTAAACACAGATCAGAGTGTGTTATACACCGATCAGTTTGTGTATCTGTATTATACACAGAGCAGAGTGTGTTATACACCGATCAGTTTGTATTATACACAGATCAGAGTGTGTTATACACAGAGCAGTGTGCATAATACACAGATCAGAGTGTGTTATACACAGAGCAGTGTGTGTATCTGTATTATACACAGAGCAGTGTGCATAATACACAGAGCAGTTTGCATAATACACAGAGCAGTGTGTGTATCTGTATTATACACAGAGCAGTGTGTGTATCTGTATTATACACAGAGCAGTTTGCATAATACACAGAGAAGGGTGTGTATCTGTATTATACACAGAGCAGTTTGCATAATACACAGAGCAGGGTGTGTATCTATTATACACAGAGCAGTTTGCATAATACACAGAGCAGGGTGTGTATCTGTATTATACACAGAGCAGTTTGTATAATACACAGAGCAGTGTGTATAATACACAGAGCAGAGTGTATCTGTAATGTTTATAAAAAGATATATAAGGGATAGAGAAAACTGTCTACCTTAAACTGAGCAAGCTTCTAAGCAAAAACACAGCAGCATTTCACCAGCAAATGCAAATCTGGAAGGGGGTTAGGTAACAAAGAAAATGGGCGAGCTTAGAGAGAGCACAAACCGAAACTAAAACTGTAAGGAGTGAGCAGCATGGGGGAGGAGGCAATCCTGGAAGGGCCAGACTCCAGCCTAACAGAGCATGTGCTAGTCAGAATCACTGCTTGCTTTGTGCTATACAGCAGAGAGAGTTCTCACTCTAAACAGATTCATTGGAAGCATGGCATTACTCAAAAAGAGAAAGCATGAGAGAAGTGACCAGGACAGTGAGTACTTTCAGTGTTACTCCGATGTCTCAATCCACGAGGAAATGATTTCAGACACTGTCCGGACCAGTGCCTACAAACAGGCCATACAAAGTAACAGTGCCCTACGTGGGAAAACGGTTCTGGATGTGGGTGCAGGAACTGGCATCCTTAGCATATTCTGTGGCCAGGCTGGTGTGAAAAAGGTGTATGCAGTGGAGGCCAGCAGTGTGGCCCAGCTGGCCAATAATGTGGTGAAACAGAATGGCATGGAGGACAAAGTGGAAATCATTAACAGCTCCGTAGAGACCGCTGAGATCCCTGAGCAGGTAGACGTTATAGTCAGTGAGTGGATGGGCTACGCGCTAATGTACGAATCCATGCTGAGTTCAGTTATCTATGCCAGGGACAAATGGCTGAAACCAGGAGGCCTCATGTTGCCGAACTGCGTAGATCTGTTTATTGCCCCCATTAATGACCCGACCACAGAGAATCGTTTGGACTTTTGGAGTGATGTGAAACGCATGTATGGAGTCGATATGTCGTGCGTGCGGTCTTTTGCCCAAACCTGCATCATGAACAAGGAGATGCAGGTATGCTCTGTGTATCCCGAAGATGTCCTTTCATTCCCTGCAAAATTTGCCTCCCTCAATCTTAACAGCGTCACTCTTGAAGAGTCTGCGAAAATCTACGGTACATTTAAATTTAGGTGTTTTGGGTCCTCTTTTATGCATGGCTTTGCTGTTTGGTTTTCAGTCATATTTCCAGGGGAGAAAGTTGTTAATTTATCTACCTCTCCGTATGGAGAAGAGACCCACTGGAAGCAAACATTGCTGTACCTGAACGAGGAGATTCAAGTGGAACAGGACACTGAAATCAGTGGAGACATCACAATGACACCGTCAGAAATTAACCATAGACATCTACACGTTCTCCTAAACTATAGCATAGGAGGAAGCATGTGCAAGACTAAGCTATTCCAGATGGGGAGTTAGCATTGTAACAAAATGGCTGCATGTTGTACCTGCATATGGTTTTGAAATAAAAACAGAAATATACATCATAATTGCTTCCGTGTCGTTTTTAATTATTATTTTTTTTTCAACTTTGTTTCTAAAAGACACACACTTGCTCTGCTTAATCCACTTGGTTATTTTGTGTCTTTGCTTTTGAGTGCTATTTATAGTGATGTTTGATTAGCCTTTATACGTAAAAATAAAATTGAAATGGTTTTAATTTAAGTTGTGTCATTTTCCTCGTATTACAAATCTTCATACTTTATAACTAATTCTAGGCAGAGAAAGAGGAAAAAATAGTGCAGTTTTGAAATGTTGCTAATCTTCATGAAAATGTGTCAGAGAACATAGATAGCTTTGGTTTTGTCATAGCTGGTTTACAAAAACAAAATAATGATTAACATACGTGTTGTGGGTGAGCAGACTTTGGGTTGTGGGGATTTCTACAGTTAGAGGAGGAGGATATTAGTATTTTATATTTACATTTTTCATCAGACTGCAGTTACTCAAAGTAGCCACTTTTTAAAAAGAATAATCAGTAGTTTAAAGCTCCGCCAGGCTATGTAGTATTCTCGAGATGTTGCTGGACAACAGAAGCCTCAATTACAAACCCTAGTATTAATTAAGTAAAGTTGAAGGATCTCATTTTGAATATCTGACTGTGGAGCATGTGCTTGTTTCTGGCTATGCTTTTGTTGAGATCCTGGAGAGCATAAAAACATACTGTTCATGGGTAGAGAGCAGGGGACATAACAAAGGTTAAGGTAGGTTATGTTCTATCTGTCACATCCTGTTCCTCGCTGCGGATCATTCTGGCAATGGCTTCTGGTATCCAGTACTCTTTTTACAAATCTTGTTTAGTTTTTCTTGGTTTTCTGGTTTTCTATTCTATGTCTGGTTTTCTTTATGCTGGGTTTCTGGGTCCATTCTTATATTCCATCCCTGGATTTCCCAGTCTCTTGGATTCATTTAAATGTTTGTTTTATGTAGCCACACCCGTTTGTTTTCCATTTTTCTTTTGTTTGTCTGGACCTGCAGCAGTGTTTCAAGTCTCTGCCCTTTCTTGCAGGTAAGGGTTATTGTGGTTTAGTGTGGTTCTTTTAGCGAACATTAGGCAGTGGAGGACCTGCCGAATATGGGGTACATTGGCGTTGTGGCAGGCTTATGCAATGTATGATCATATAATGTAACTAAATCCCCATACTTTTCATATATAGTGCTTAGTTATGTCTCCTCTTGTTTTGCCTATCATATCTTGTCTTGTTTTATTTTGTCTTGTATTCCCTGTTCTTGTTTTCCTCATGTCTTGTGTACATGTTCTGGGTTCTCCTAGTTTTGTCTTGTTTTCATGTATGATGCCTATCTCTAGTCTTGCCTTGCTTCTGTACTGGATACATTCTTGCTGCAGAGCCTCCCTATTTAGCTCCTGGGAGGTCTACTTAATTTCTGCTCCTAGTTCCTGGGATCTGCTGTAGCTGCATCAGGGTTTTGGAATGTGGCTGCACAAACGCTGGTGCTCAACACCAGGGGGCGTGCGGTTACCCTGCAAATCCACCTCCACACTGTGACTCCTACTCTGAACATCAGGCATACTGGGTCCCGGTCCTTGCACCGCCGCCCGGACAGTGTTTTCCAAAGGCCCAGGTTTCTGTAACCTAGCCATGCAAAAGCACCCAACATTTTGTTTTCATTTTATTTATTTTTTGGTTTAAATGAAAATAGTTTTCAGCAGAAAAAGAATAGTCTCCAGATATGTACTTCATAAATGCAGCACTTACAACAGATAGTGGGTAGCAAACTA